GTTCCCAGCACCTACCTGGTGGCTCACAGCCACCCATAACTCCAGTTTCAGAGGATCTGATGTCTTCTGACCCCTACAGACACCAGGCATACAAGTGGTGTATAAACACACATATAGGCAAAACACTCATACAGATAAAATAAAATAAATAAATAAATAAAAAACCAAGCCACTGTCTTCTTCCTACTTAATAAATAGGGAAACTGAGGCTTTAGAACATCTAGTTCTGGTCCCATAGCCACTGGTGCTGAAGGAGACTAGATCTGTGCCCTGTTTACCTTCTGTCTCTCCCACCAGGACAGCAGGTTTTTCAGGTCTGGCTTCCAAGGCTGGTTTCTCCAACTGCCTTGTTATCTGCCTCCCTTCCACCCTCCCCTCCCTTTTCCTCAGGCTCAGCTCATGGGGCTGACTGAGAACTCATTCACCTCTCCCAGCACCTCCAGTTACTGGCTTTGGGCTTTAGCAGCCATCTGAAGTGGGGATAAAACTGGACTGCATACCTTTAATCCTACTCATTGGGAGACAAGATCAGAAGCTCCTGGATAACATCCTAAGCAAGTTCAACATCAAGACCCGGTCTCAAGCCGGGTGGTGGTGTACGCCTTTAATCCCACCCAGAGAAACACAAAGAAACAATCTCCAAAAATAAAAAAATTTTTAATTAGAAAAATAAAAGACCCTGTCTCAAACTAAAAAATTAAAACTTGGCGCTGGAAAGATGGCTCAGTGGTTAAGAGCACTCATCGCTCTTCCAGAGGACCCGAGTTCAGTTCCCAGCCCATCTAAGATGGCCAGGAGATCTGATGCTTTCTTCCGGCCTCTATAAGCACCCACACTCATACACACACTTGGTAGGCAGAGGCAGGTGGATCTCTATGAGTTTGAAGCCAGTCTGGTCTACAGAGTGAGTTCCAGGACAGGCTCCAAAGCTACACAGAGAAACCCTGTCTCAAAAAACCAAAAAAAAAAAAAAAAAATTTTTTTTTGGCTGAAGATATAGTACAGTATTAAAAGTACTTGTCTATCAAAAAAAAAAAAAAAAAAAAAAAAAAAAAGTACTTGTCTATCATGCATGAAACTCAGGACTACAAAAACAAATATAATAACAATAATAATAATAAAGTGGGGGAAAGAGATCAAGCAAGAAAGAGCTCACCATTACAACAAACCTTCCAAGTTCTCCAATCCCATCCAATCCCATGCCACAGATGTTGACAAAGGCTAGGAAAGAGATTTGCTGCTCAGGCTAAAGCCCAGGCTCATACCAATATACACATCAAAAACCTATGGGCCCAACTTCCTACAGTCTGTGCACAGCTCACCACACCCTGGACCCCAGGCATTCATAGGAGCCCAATAGTTGGCCGAATCAGAGAGGCCAGGAGGGCTCCAGGACAGAGTCATAAATGGCAAGCCTTCCTGTTTAGGTGCCGGAGCTGTGCCTGGATCTGGAAGAAAGCAGGCTGGATATGACAACATCCTTCCAGCCAGGACACCTGCCCCCAGAAGCAACTGCAAGCCAGGCCTCCTGGAGAACACAATGAATATGACTCCCTGGAACTGAATATGAAGCCTGCGGCTCCGATGTTCCTAGATCTGGAGAGTCACGTAGCTGAGCTTGCTGCTGCAATCTAAATAACGGGAGAAAGAAACCAAGCATAGAGAGCAAACTTTCAGTTCCAGCAGAGGCAGGAGGATCTCAAGGCCAGCCCAGGGCTACACAGCGGAACCCTATGGAGGAAAGACCCCCCCACCAACCATACCATACTTATGGAACTCTCCCTGTATCCTGAAAAAATAAAAAAAAAAATTGGTCTATCTGGGTGTGGTGGCACATACCTTTAGTCCAGGTGGATCTCTGAGTTCAAGGCCAGCCAGGGCTACACAGAGATATCCTATCTCAAAAAAAAAAAAAAAAAAAAAAAGAGGAAGGAAGGAGAGAGACAACAAAAAGTGGAAGGTGCTGGAGAGACAGCTCTACAGTTAAGACAGCTCGATGTTCTTTCAGAGGACCTGGATCTGGTTCCCAGCACCCTAGGAGGCTCATAACGCCTATAATTCCAACTCCAGGGTATCAGATATCTCTTTCGTCCTCCTCAGCTCCCCTCACAAATATGTACACACACAGACATAAAAATTTAAACTTTAAAAACATTTAAAGGTGGAGGGATTGCCTGGCATGCATGAAGCCCCAAGCTCCATGACCACCACTATCACTTCATAAAAGCAGGTGTTCTGGCACAGCCCCTAACCCTAGCCCCAGAGGTAGAAGCAGAAAAACTGCGGAAAAAAGATAAAAAAACAGATGGAGGCAACAGCTTGCAATTGCCCCGGACAATGTCCCAACTCAGCCTTCCCCATCAAGTGCAGTCTGGCCTTGCCCAGCCAGGGGGAAGGAGTGACAGGAAATAGCAGAGATAGTTTCAGTCAAGGAACAAGTGGGTTCTGGGGAGCCCTGCTTCATCTATCCCATTGGGGTCAAGGACCACCACAGGCCCAAGGTCCACGAGGTCCAGGTTGAGAGGCCCTGAAGCTTGTATGGTAAGGCTCGGAAGACCATCTTTTGGAAAAACAACAGAAACAATAATCATACTGATACAACTTCTACGAACCCACTGGTCTGGTAAGCCAGGAAAGTCCCAGCAAACTTGAACTAATCAGTCACCTTAGATCCTGAGCCCAGGCTCCCTTAACGCCATGGAGAAGTCTGCTGCTGCCAGACTCCACAGTAGATGAGAGAGGGCATGCAGAATTTAAGATGTCTCTATATACCACAGACTATTATAAAAAGATGGGATAGAAACAACATGGCATGATGTGAAATTTGCCCTCTCTCTCATTCTTTCTTTTCCCTGTTTTCCTTCAGGGCTGAGGTTGGAGACCGGGGCCTTACACTTGTTAGGCAAGTGGTCTGCCACTAACCACACCTCAGGCCCATCTTCATGCTTTCTAAGGGTGTATTTCGATGGTATTATTTATCCCCTGTTGTCCAATCACCATGCATGATTTTTGTGCTTTCCAATAGCCAGCAGCCATTACTTTAATGATGGGGGGGGGGGATGTTTATCTTCTTTTTAGACAGGCTCATGTATCCCAGACTGGCCTTGAACTCATGATTCTCCTGCCTCTACGTCTGAGATTTTAGGAACATTTTTCTCCAGCCTATAGTACATGCCTTTGCTAAAAGTATAAGGCATTCAGAATCCAGGTGCATGACCAGGGCTGTGAGGTCATGAAGTCCTTTGGGCTGGAGTTGGACTTGATTACCTTTACATCATTTCCAATCTGAAAACTACAGAATTTGCAATCTCCCCTGCAGCAAAAACCCAGTCCTTTGAAGACAAGATGGATTGGATTCGAATGCTTGCCTACCATTCTCAAGGATCAGTGAGTGGGTGCTAGGCTATATCTAGTTAATTTTTTCCCTCCTGCTCTGCATGTCCTCCTTTTACCCTGATGTATAAAAGTGTAAGCCCTCTGCATCCCATTAGACCCTACATGACATCATCTCCATGAAGCACCTCTATTCCACAGCAGGGAGACCCTGTCCTGGCTCCCTCCCCAGTGGGACTGTGGGTTCCCTGAGCATCAGGGCTGAGCCTGAGTCATGCTGCCTTCCCTCTGGGCCTGGCAGACTCAATAAAGCTTTGCTAAATGAAGCCATCACCAGTAGAAATGACCCAAGCACAAGAAACGCCCACACCCCTTCACAAAGCTTGTGTTTCCACCTCCCAGCCAGGTGCCACAGAGGTCAGAGGAAGCAGCACCCAGCCAACCCATCCAACCAGGATTCCCACTTTACCTAGGGCCTGCAGGAACTTCTGCAACTTGGGCAGTGCCAAGAATTAATAAATTCAGTGTCACAAACCCTCATGGGTATATATGGGCTGCATGGCCAGAAACAAGGTTCCCCAAAAGGAGGACATTTAAACATTTCCTAAGACAAGAATAAAACCCAAGCCATCCCACCCATCCGATCCTGATAGGGCCCTCAAAACCAGGAAAGAAGGGCACCTCAGCAAGCCTAGGTCACAGTTGACTTCAATCACAACCCCCAAGGGTCCCTGACCTTGTCACCAATCCAGGCTCTTCTGGTCCTTTAGGAGGGAGCCCCAGATCTGCAGAGGCAAACCCTCCTCCATGAAGCCAGCCAATCCCAGAGGGCACCAGAGCCCACAGGCCTCCTCTCCCTTGGGTGCAAAGCCCCCAGAGCCTCTCCCTTCAAGTTGTTTTTGTCCCAACCCCCAGTCAGGATTGAGCTGAGCCTCACTCAGCGCTGGGGGTCCTACCTGCGACTAGGTAGGCAGAAGGTTTCAAACAGACCGACCTCCCCCCTGCTCTCTACTGCTTGGAAGGGACCTTTCTCCAGACACACTTAGGCGCCACTCAGGTGTATGATGAGGTTGGGAGTGGGAGTATTGCCGATTCATAAAATGTCAGAGCCCAAGGGGGACTCAAGGAGGCTCCTCCTACCCCTATAAATCGAGAAACTAAGGCATGACAGAAGAGCTGACGCTTCCCATCCAGCTCAAAACTGAATCCCTCGTTTCCCTGATCTTTTCTTAGGTGGTTCCCCGCCCAAGGTCACGCGGCGAAGCAGATGCGGGTCTTGGCGGAATCCCGGTATCTAGCTCCAGACTCAGGGCTCCGCAGCGTGCGGGGTGAGCAACAAAACCTGGTTCCAGGTCCTCGACCCGATCGCGCGCAGCAAGTGTGGCGGTGCGCCTTAGCGAAAAGATCCACGCCCTGATCCGCGCCCCCCAAAAAGCGGCCTTGAACTCGGGCTCCGTACCCACGGACACGCGCGAGCCGAGCCGCTAGCTGCAAAGCAGTGACAGCCTGGAGGTCACGGCGATGGGGCTGAGGAACTCGGCAGCAGGGGCCAGGGAAGTAGCGTGTGGTCAGGATTCGCTGTACCGGCAGGGCCGCCCGGCCCGGCCAGGTGAGGTCGCGCCGGTCTCTGGCGCCCCGAGCCCCAGCCAGCCTTGCTACGTCCTTACCCAAGACACGACGCGCAGGATGGTGTGTGGCTGCCGCACCAAGGTGTAAGGGTCGAAGGCGCCCCCGGCTTTGCCCGCTCCGTACGCACCCCCTTCCATCGTGGCTGCACCGCGCGGTGCCCCCCGCTCGGCGCGCACCGCCGACCCGTGCGCGTGCGCGGCGCCCCCGCCTCCTCTCCTGAGCGAGGCTGGTGTGGATCTGGGCTCCCGCCAGGGGGCGTTTGTGCCCGGCAGGCGAAGCTTCTGGGAAGAGCGCGCTCAGGGAGCGCGTGATGTGGTGGGGGTCTCGGTGCGGGGTGCGCTCCTAGGCAGCGGGTGACCTCTCTGCAAGTAGGAGTGTAGACAGAGAGTGCAGACGCGTCCCCGCCTTCGGGAGCACTCCAAGCTATACCTCTTCTGGAAATCCACTTCGTTATTTGTTTGTTTGTTTGTTTGCCTCTCCCCTGTCGCTGTCTGCCCCAAATAGTGTGAAAGGGCTCCCGTTTGACCGTACGTGGCTCATTGAACGCACTGCTGAATCGCTAGGTTCAGGAATGACCCCCTCTAAGAGACCTACAGAGCCTCAGGCCCCCAGAATCACCCAGCTCCATCGATGACGTCATGCATGCGCACCCTCTTCTGGAGGGATCTGTAAGGAGGCGAAGTCTGGGGGGGGGGGGCGGGGAGGGAGAAACCACAAACCTTGTGAGATTTTCTTCGCTCTCCACCACAGGTCCCGTGCCTCTTTCCTTAATCCAATAATTAATTATGTAATTATCTCTTCCATTGTTTCTCTGTCTTTGGACTCTTAACTGGCCAAGTTGGTCAGTAAATACACCGTAGCCCTCATATCATCCTGCCCCCAACAAATCCCAACACAGTTTGACCTCAGGGCTTGTTTGTTTATTTTTGAAACAATTTCTTGTAGTCTAGGCTGGGTTCTGGAACTCACCATGCCATATGGAGGGGGTTGATTTTGAACTTCCAATCCTCCTGTTTAACCCCAGCTATGGTATTTCAGGCCTGAGGGAACTATTATACTATGATCCTATAAAACTTCTAGAAGAAAACAAGAGAAGCCGGGTATGGTGACATATACCTTTAATTCCAGAAATTAGGAGGCAGAGGCAGGTGAATCTCTGAGGTCGAGTCAGCCTGATATACAAAGTGAGTTCCAGGACAGCCAGGGCTATATATAGAAATCCTGTCTTGAAACACCCCACCCCACCCCACCCCAAAAAATGGAGACGAGAAAGTCTTTGTAACTTTGTGAATAGGCAGAGTTTCTTCTTCTCCTCCTCCTCCTTCTCCGTCTTGTTTGTTTTGCTTTGTTTTGTTTTTTAAGACAGGGTTTCTCCATGTAACTGTACTGGCTGTCCTGGAACTCACTCTGTAGATCAGGCCAGGTTGGCCTCAAACTCACAGTGATCCACCTACCTCTGCCTCCCTAGTACCGCCCCGCTGTGCCCTCACATCTAAGTGAGGACACTGCATCATCTAAGTGCAGTGCCTGGGGAGGCCAGGAGAGGAGAGGACATGGGATCCCTTAGAGCTAAATTTACAGACCTTTGTGTGTTGTTTGTGGGTTCTGGGAACCAAAGTCTGGTCCACTTCAAGAACAATAAGTGCTCTTGACTTCAGAGTCATCTCTCCAGCTCTTTTGTTTCATGACAAAATCTCACACTGTAGTCAGGCTGTGACCTCAAACTCACTATGTAGCCTACGCTCAGTTCTAACTTGGGGCAATTTCATGTGCTGAGATCTCAGATGTGAGTTACCATCACATCTAGCAAAGCATTTTCTCAGAAGCCAAGGAGCAATGTGGCTAAGAGGGTACATGTTCTTGAAGATCGTTGAAACATTCTCCCTCTTGTCTGTATAGACCTTGTCCTGAGATCTATGCCACAACATAGGTGGACACATTTATGTCTTTCCATGAAGTCAGAATTTATCCAATAACAATAAATTCACAAGGTGGAGTAGTTTCAACAGCAAGTTTGCCAGGTAATCCTGCCTATCTTGGTAATCTAGCAAGGGTAATGCAGGTTGGTTCTCTTATTCTCTTGTCACACATCACACAGCAAATCAGTTAGTCAAGCAATCTAGCTGCATATATGTGGTTTACATAATGAATGCATATTTTAAAGGCTACTGCATAGTTGAAGAGGTTTTAGAAGTGGGCCAACAGAAATGCAAACAGATTCTGCCTTAATCAGATAAGAAACCTAAACAGCATCAGGGAAGAGGATATTGCTGTAGAGAGCATTGGAGACCAGCATTGAGAGTGAAGATAGCCTGATACAGGGATGAAAGGACAAGCCTGGGGGAAAGAGCTCCAGGTGCAAAGTGCCAGGGAGTAGACAGATATAAGAGTATGCCAGGTCAACAGCAAGGGACTGGGCTGAGCCATTCTATTTATTTTTAATTAAAACTTTTTGAACATTTTATTTGTTACTTTTATGCCTATGGGTGTTTTGCCTATACTATGTAGTGTTTTACTTATATAGTGTATGTCCCTGTACCCACCCCCTATTGCAGTGTCCATAGAGACCAGATGAGGCATCAGATTCCCTAGGATTCAAATTACAGGCCTTTGTGAGCCACCATTTGAGAGTGCTGGGAATCCACCTGGGTACTCTGGAGGAGCAGTGCTCTTAATTACTGAGCTATCTCTCAAGACCCTATTTTTAATCTGTTATTATTACCTTTGTCACGTGTGTAGACATCAGTTGGCAACTTGTGAGAGTTCTTTCTTTCCACTAAGTGAGTTCCAAAGATTGAACTCAGGTCATCAGGTTTGGAAAATACCTCATATTTATTTTTATTTGCCAACCCTCATATTTACTTTTAAAAAAAAGTTGCACAAGTAATTAATGTAAGTACTTTCATTTTGTTTTGTGTCTTCTTTGGAAATGGGATCTCACTGTGTAACACTGGTTGTCCTGGAACTCACTCTGTAGACCAGGCTGGCCTGAAACTCACAGAGATCCACCTTCTTCTGCCTCCCCAGTGTTGGGTTTGAAGGCATAGAATACAGCAGAACTTAGAGCCCTCTGGGGAATGCCTTCACACCACCCACTGCACCCTCATAGGCATTCAGTGTGAAGGGCCCTGCCAATCAGCTGGGGATGGCTGTATTCATCCTGTGTAGTTGGCCCTGGTGAAATGGATCATGTGACTCTATGTGTATTTCCTGGTCCTGCTTCCTGGCACACAGCCCCTAAAGCTCTTGGAATTTCTGACCTGATGTTCTCTTTTTGTAAGCTAACGAGGGCACTAGAGCCTCAGCCTCCTGCCTTCACAGAGGCTCTTAGTAATCTTATATCAAAAGGACTTCTAGGAGGTGCTTCTGAACAGCAACTCCATTCCCGATCATTTTAACCTCCATTTCACGATCAAATTAACATCGTCTTTGTTATAGTTTCCAAATGTGTTGTGTAACCCTCCTTATTTCTGAACCAGGTTGACTATAATCCTAGGATTTGGGAGGTAGAGACTGGAGAATCAGTTCAAAGCCGGCTTCAGCACTTAAGTTCCAGTGTCGTCAGCCTGGGTTACTTGAGACTATCTTGAAAAACAACAAACAGACGGAAGAGAGGCAGCCCAAAGCAAATGCTGCTCTTGCAGTGGGTCAAAGTTCAGATCCCAGCAGCCACACTGGGTGGCTCATAACCTGTAACTCCAGCTCCAGAGGGATCTGTTGCCTACATCCTCCTTGGGCACCTGCATTCCAGTGTACATACCCATACACAGGTACATAGATCTAAAATAATAATAAATAAATAACAACACACAGACACATAAATATAAAATAAATAAATAAATGGGAAAAAATTAAAAATAAAGTAAATCCTCCTGTCTTGTTTTTGGTTTTCAAGACAGGATTTCTCTTTATTGCTTTAGAGCCTGTCCTGGGACTTGCTCTATAGACCAGGCTGGCATTGAACTCACAGAAATCTGCCTGCCTCTGCCTCCCGAGTGCTGGGATTAAAGACGTGCACCACCACTGCCCAGCCAGTTCTGTATGGCAGTTTTTTGGAAGTCTCTACTTAAATAAGCTGACAAGTTTAGATGAAGTTTGAGGGTTTGTTATTTTTTCTCTTGCAGGTGCTGTTTGTTCAATATTTTTTGGTGCATGTCACAATACTAGTGGAGTTTAGAGGACAACTTATGGAAGTTTGTTTTGAGTCCTTGGCATAGAATCCAGAGTGTCTGCAAGCCCCTTTACAGGCTGAGCCACCTTTTGGAACCTGTCCAGATGATTTTAGCTGAACCTTTCTGTCACTGTGTGCTCAAAAATAGTTATTTCTGGCCCTTCATAGAAAGCTGAGAGCATTTGCTTGGCTGACAGCCTGGGCTTTGCTAGATTGCTTGGGCTTGACAGGGTTCTCAATACTGCCCCAGTTTACCAACCTGGTAGAGTCTGTATTTATAGATCATGTGTTACAGCATCTGCCTGATACATAAAAATAATGAAAGCCAGGCATAGTGATGTACATCTTCAATCTCAGCACTTGGAAGGGGGGGGGATTCATTTGTCTGTGAATTCAAAGTTAGCCTGAAGTGAGCCCCTGTCTCAAATAAATAAAATCTATAGTGTCGGCTTCCACATACATGTACACATATGGGCACATGCACCCTACACACACACACACACACACACACACACACACACAAATTTACACTATCTTGTGAAAATTATAATTTTGCTGGGGGGATGTAGCTCAATGGTAAAATGTTTGACTAGCATGAATAAGGTCCTAAATTCAATCCCTAGTACATAAAAATATTCTTAACTTTGAGCTAGGCAGTGGTGTCCAGAGCCTTTAATCCCAATAGTTGGAAGACAGAAGCAAATGGATCTCTGTGAATTCGAGCCCAGCCTGGTCTACAGAGCAAGTTCCAGGACAGCCCTGGCTCCAAACCAAAGCTATACACACACACACACACACACACACACACACACACACACACACACACAGAGAGAGAGAGAGAGAGAGAGAGAGAGAGAGAGAGAGAGAGTATTGTATGCCTTTAAGGCCTTTAATCCCAGCACTCAGGAGACAAAGGCAGGTGGATTTCTGTGAGTTTGAGGCCAGCCTGGTCTACACAGCAAGTTCCAGAATAGCCAGGGCTACACGGGGAAACCCTGCCTTGTTTGTTTTGACAGATTCTCACTGGATACACCAGGCCGGTCTGGAACCGTGTCACCATACCCAGCCC